ATGACTTAATTTTCATTTTTGGGTGAACTATCCCTTTAAGAGTAATTTATTGGATCATTATTGCAGTGATTATTAGGTTTCTAGCTTGTTATATCATGTTTGGCAACAGTTGTGATGGAGTGTGTTCATTTTTTAAGCAACGAACGTATGAAGACACCTCTTGATGGAAATAAATGTTGTGATGTTTTTTCCATCAAGAGGTGCATCAATTTTTGGTCAAGATCTTGTATTGACAATGCAAGAGTCGAGCACTCTATAAAGTTTACTCCAGCACATCCCAAAGACTTTCAATGAATTTAAGTTCTGGACTCTGGAGGTGTTAATTCATGTGTGAAAATGATTCTTCATGCTTCCAACCATTCTTTCATTTGTCATTGTCATCCTGAAATATGGGCATGATGTGTCTTTCACGTGGTTGTTTAAAAATGAAAATCTGCACACAAGAACAGTTGCCAAACATACAGTATAACATGCTAGAAACATAATATCACGGCAATAATGATCCAGTCATTGACTCTTAATCATTTGCCTATTTAAATCCAAATGGATAATTCTTTTTTGGCTGGGCAGTGTATAATGTTGAGGGCATGTATGAAATAAGAGCTGTCACCTGTGAGGTCTGAAGGAACAAGGTATTTCTTTTTGTCAAGTTCAGGAGCTCGTGACCTTGCTGCTCTCTCCACAATTATCTAAGGAGAGAAAGAAAGAAACAAATAAATATACAACTCTCCCAAAACCTTCCTTTCAGAGCAATATTATATTAGTTGTAAATTCTGTCATCTCTCTTGTCATTCCAAACCTGCATGACTTTCTTCTGTAAAACATAAAGAAGATATTTTAAGAAATGCCTCAGTATTTTCTTAAGTGAATGGTAACCAAAACAATTTGGTTACCAACATTCTTCACAACTTCTTTTGTGCACCAGAAGACAGAAAAACAAATTTGGAACAACATGAGGGTGAGTAAATGATCCTTTTTGTGTGAAGTATCCCTTTAAACCTTTGAACTGTCCTGATAATGTAACTGAAATATATTATTTTTTGTTATTATGGTTTCCAACCATGATACTGACTGGAATTTTATCCGGATGTTTGGCGCGGACTCTCTCCCCCTCCGCTCTCCTGATCTCCAGTGGAACACTTCGCTGATACTGGCTAGACATCTGAGGGCCAAACACACATGAACAATAACATCAACATAAAAATATAACATTTTAGGCTTCCTCATTTGATACAATAATTCATCTGCCTGATTAGTTATTGTCATTCAAACATGGATAGAAATAAACACACAGAACTGCATATGATCATTAATAAAGAATATTTATTCTATGAATCAGTCAATCATAAACACAGGGTGTAACAAATTGTTTATTTTGAAATGCCCTGGTAATTCTTCTGCCACCCCACCATAGGCTCTTCCTCTCTTTTGCCCTCAGTCCAGACGTTATTTACATATGTTAAAATTCAAACCATGTGTATTTTCTACAATCCTCTTAACACAACAGCTAGATTTTTTAAGTCACCATGAAATAAAAATGGACACTTCTTGCCATTAGCAATATTAATGAAATATTGCTAATAATTAAATTATTTATCCATGCACATTATTTTTTTAAATTCCGTTTCTATTATAATCTTTAATCGAAATAATTCCCCTCCCACTTGCAGAAACTTCTCTTTTCTACACTGATGACGTGTTCATTGGCGTGAGGATGGGGCAAACCTGTCATTCACATGGCATCACAGAAAAGCAAACCACAACAATCCAACGATCCAATCAATTCCCAACGAAAAAATCAAGTCCCACCCTACATTTTTTCTTGTTCGGGAAACCGTTTTACATGGATATCCATCATAATAGGAAAGAAAAGACTACTGTGTTTCCCATTTCATGTTGACTTTAATAAAAATAAAAAATAAATTTTAATGATAACTAACTATAAAGGACTATAACATGAATGTTCTGCCGTTTCATTGAAGGTTGTGGAAAATGATTCCCAATATTTTATTACTGTGGAACTAGGCAGACTAGTTTGTTTTGTTTATATTCACTCAACCATCCACTTGTGCCCTGCAGAGGAACATTACATAATACAGACATGTACTAAACACCCATCAATTACAACAGAAATTAAATACTTTCCATTCCTACTTCCTTTCCATTTTCCATTTTTGGACCAAGGTAATGTGCTTACTCGTGTAAATACCATGGCATATGCATATTTCAGTTATTCACTACCGTAGTATTATGTAATAATATAAAGCCAGTAGGCTTAATTGATAGTTGCGATTCTCGATGGTGTTGCGAAGAAGGCGAGTTGCCTCATGCAGTTCTGCATTGCGAAAACATGTCCTCCATACAGTAAGTTACTGCCCGCTCCTGAAACACTCACTATTGACACTCATAAACAATAATAATCTGCTGCCGTCAGAAAGAACATGATACTATGAGATAACTGGACCCATAACAACAACTGCTGATGACGTAAGTCCGCGAGCTCACATGATTTTACTGTCTATGGATATGACCTGCTATTCCGTACAAGCCTTGTTCAGGGAACATTAAATGCGGGTAACCGCGGGATTGGTATCTGAAACTTTGATCCAACACAAATCCACGACCCATTTTCACCATAAAACTACATTAACCTTATCCACATTAAACTGGGTGTATTGATCATTGCGGTAAACAAACAAAACATACCTTGGACGGCTAACGTTGCTGATCGATTCAGGAAGAAGTCAAATGTAACGCCCGTCTTCCCGGCTTAACCGAAGATAAGATGCCCGTATTAATAGTAATTATGTTGCTCTCCAAAAATCAATAACTTTATATTATAATTCGCCTTCTATCTTGAAGATGTCGACTGACCAACTTCTCCCACTAAAACAACAACAAATAATGCACCGCCTCATTCTGTAAAGTAACCAATCAGAATCATATAAATAGACTGACATAACGTCTAGTGATTTAGAGGAGAGAGAAGGCGGGATTTAAAAGTGTTGACAATGCTTCTATTGGCCAAAGTGAGCTGTCGCTCACGTGTTCCCCTTGGTCAGCGGAACCAATCAAAATAAAGCATAATTAGGCCAATGAAGAGAGCTCTGAAGTGTTTCTGTGTTACGTGTCTTACGTGTCCTTTTCTAGGCAGACCCAGCATTTGATTCTGGTAACAATTTTGTCCACAACAACTGTGCTTGTTTTAATCGTTTTTGTTTTGGTAAAGTCATCTTGAGGTCCCCTCAGAAGTTTGTTGAGGCCCACTGAGTTGAGAACCACTGTTCCCTCCCCAAGTTAGCATCAAATTTTGAATAAAGTTTTACAATTCTTATTGACATCAGTTTGCTTGTTTTGAATATTGTCTGTAATGTTTATTATCTTTCTTTTTTATAGCAATATATCCTGTGAATTGTGAACCTTGTTTCTGAAACGAAATGTATACTTTTTAATGATGTCTATTGTACTGTATGGAATAAATATTGGTATATATATATATATATATATATATATATTAGGGGTGGCACGGTACATGAAAAAACACCCGAACCGTTCGGTTCGCTTGTCTCGGTTCGGAGCGCGTGTGCGTCTCACGGTTCGACGCATGCGCAATGTAACCTCGTGCCCGTATGTGATGTGTGTTTTCTTTTCGCGCGACATAAACTTGTTCGACTTGGACCGGCGCTGCACAGAGCGATCGGTGAATAACATCAATCTAGCGCGAGTCGGCTCCGTATGCATTCATCACTTTCGCGGTATTTGATGTCATTACCGATCGCTCTGTGCAGCGCCGGTTCAAATTAATAAACAAGCCAGTAAAAGTGGAGTATGGAGCGCTGCAGGTCACGGCACGCGGAGAAATGGCAAGTGGGAGAGATGAGGGAGTTGGAGGATGCGCCAGCGTCGTATAAGTCTATGGTATAAGTCCGGTGTGTGGGAACATTTTGGATTTCATGTTATGATATTTTAATTTAACTACAGTGGGACTTTATGTATAAGAGCTTCAGTCATACGTTTCCAAACCCTGCACTTTAATTTTAAGTGGAAAAAGGTACCCTCACATTTTGGGAATAGAAGCATTGTTGATACTGTTTTTGTGTTGAGGTTGAACTTAAATTTCACTTTATGTTTATGGCCTTTGCTATTGCAATAGCTTTATTATCTATAGGCAATGAGGTTTCATGTATATTGACATTTAAAAGACAGTGTTTTAAGAGTTGCTCTCTTTTTCTTTTAAAAGATAGAATTTTGGTAAGAGCTACAAAAGTTAGCAGTTGATACATGAAAGTTAATTTCTTTGTGTAAATAAGATTTATGTGATAAAAATGCACAAGTTCTTGTAGAGATAGTGATACACATTCTCCTTTTTTTTGCCAAATAAACAAAAAGCATGTCAATTTCTTCTCTCTTGCTGTATCTAAATCTCACCTAGCTTTCCTCTGAGATAGTCCCAAAATGTGCTTAAAGTCAAAGAGTCAAATTCAGTTTGTGCATGATTGCATGAATATAATATATATTTTTTTTAATACTGTATCCTAAAGTGTGGATAATTAAGCTATATATCACATGCTGAAGTACATTTCTGGAGTGTTAAAGATTAAAAGAAAAAATAACAAGAACCGTACAGAACCGAAAACCGTGACCCTAAAACCGTGATACAAACCGAACCGTGGGTTTTGTGAACCGTGCCACGCCTAATATATATATATATATATATATATATATATATATATATATATATATATGTGTGTGTGTGTGTGTGTGTGTGTGTGTGTGTGTGTGTGTGTGTGATTCTATACAATACAGATCATTTAAAAAGGTATACATTTCAGAAAAAAGGTTCACAATTCACAGGATATAGTCTTAATTTCTATTTATTCTGTATTGTTTTATTATGTTAGAAATACCTATATTTGCCTTCTCTCTGTCATGTGTTGAACATTCTGTCGTCCAATGAGAGACGCTGGCAGAATTTCCGGCGTCACCATCATCATCTCCAGCCATTTTGTTAGAGGTGTTGACATTCAACCATCGAGTTCAACGAAGTAACATTAGTTGATATGGGCTGCAGTATATTCCTAATATCAACTGAAACTTGGTTTGTTTAAGGTCTTCGGTAAAACAATATTAAGCAGCGTTTGTACCCTAATTTCTACAAGACATCCTATATCAAACGTTAGAACTATTGCTTTTCTCATATTTGCGTCGAATTTTCGGACGAGCTAACAGTAGCTAATTCGTTAGCTCTGGCCAAATGGCGGCGAAGTCGGCACAGCAAGCCCCTACATCGAATTGGTAAGACTTCTACACATTACAAATCCTTACCATGATTAAAGATGTCGTTCACCACATCTTTTGACTGTTAAACGGTTGCTTTTTACAAATGGAAGACATTAGTAAACATATACGAGGTAAAGGTGTAACGTTAAATATGTGTAACGTTAGCTTAATATCCGCTTCGCTCTTTTTAAGTAACATTATGTACCGAATTGTATTGTTTCACAATCACTTACTACTGATTGGTTGAAAATGTCATTCAAATTTTTAGTTTAAGTTATATGTGAAAATTTCGTCCACATTAGAATTTGGCTAATTAACGTTTGGCCTGTGTATCGTTATGGACTTTATTCACATCAGCGCCATCTTTGATTTTTAACGGAAATGAAAGCGAGTCTGTGAGGGATAACGTGGGTTTTTGAATACTGATATGTAATCTGTGTGTTTGAAATATTCTGTTGATGAAACACTGCAAAAATAACTTTCCAAGAAATTTCAGTTGACAAAAAAAAAAAAAAAAACCTCCCGACAGTATGAGCTGTGGAAAAGTTTAAGTGATCTAAGAGCTTTATACAGCTTTTTACACCGGATTCCTTTGAAAACACGGTAAGTCTATCCCTCTCAGTCTCGCTTTCATACCTGTCATGGCGCTGCTCTGAATAAGGCCTATTAAAGGCCTAATTTCTGGCAAGCCAGTCTAGATTGTAGTCTTACCTTTATGACTTTTACCAACACACTTTTGTGGCATTAATAATGTAAGCTAGGCGCAGTATGGTTAATAACAGAAGTAGTTAACAGAATGTGCATGACCGAATTGCAGATTTGAAGTGTACATATATTATAATGTTATGAACTGGTTGCTGTTACAGTTAATTTTTTATTTTTTTTGTGATCTCCATGTTTTGCATGGGTCAGAGTCTTGTGTAGATGCCTATGTAATGGAACCTTCTAGATATGGTATAACTTAAAGTTGAACTTGCATTGTCATTCACAGGCCGTATGGTAGTAATTCAGGTGGAGAGGGCCCAGTCCATGAGAACCCGGAATGGGAAAAAGCCCGACAGGCTCTAGCCTCCATTACTAAAAGTCAGAACTCAACCAAGACTTCTCCAACCAATCGCACCACCCAACAGGTTAGTGTTTATATTTTGTATATATATATATATATATATATATTGGTATGTTCCTTTTTTTATAGTCGCGTAAACTGTGTGTTTATAAAAATGTCCATTTTGTGTTGTGTGGTTAAATGATTAATTCTGTTCTGTTTTCTATTTTTTGTTAGGTTGGACAGTATCAGGCAACAGTTACAGACTCCTCTACAATGCAGCAGCAGCAGCAGTATTATCAGCAGTGGTATCAACAGAACCAACAGCAGTATGCTGGTTACCCATATCCCTATAACTACTACTACCCCATGCCTCCGGTAAATAAATGCACCCTTTCATATTCTTACAGCATGTACCTGTATATAGTCTATTTGTATTTGCGCCAAGAACGGGTCAAAGTAGACGTTGTTCGCAGGCAGGCAGCCAATGAAGACCATAGGCATTATGCGCAACATTCGCATTATGCGAATGTTACCCTGCTACGTATGTGGGTCATAGAAGACTGGAATTCCTGATGAGCCGTTTAGGTCGATCAGAGTCGATTTTCTTTTGGGAGACAATAATTTAATTTATTGTGCACTTTTGATTTTACACCTTTGTAGACCGTTTACATTCACAGACAGCTATATTACACACTGCATGATGACAGGTAATGTTCGAAAAAGCATAATAGAAGCACTTTAATTACAAAAAACCTGCCACTTACCCGAAATTTAAACCAGCTTTATTACAGCTTTTCCTTTTTGTGCAGTTTGCAATATTATTATTTTTTTCACTCCTCCAGTATGGAGGATCATATCCTTCAGGACAGTATGGTGTTCCAGGGGGCTACCAGACACCTACTACGCCCACTGGACAGGTATAGACTTTTATATATCATCAAAAGCTTCTGGTACCCAAATATAGATCAAATAGTTGTGTACATTTTAAGTAATTAATTCAAGTAATTCTCTCTCTCTTGCTCTCTCTTTCAGACCCCTGCCATGCCTATGGCAGAAGATCAGTCCTCCAGCTATCCCTCGCAGCCCCCTCCTCCTGCAACCCCTCAACCTCCCCCTCAGAGTCCTACATCCACTGACCAGCCCCCACCCCCTCCTCCTCCTCCCATACCTCCTCCACCCAATGCCCAGTACCCTCTTCCATCATCCCAGACCCCCTACAGCCCCAATGGTACCCTGCCATACAGCCCTACGGATTCTAACCCCATGATGCGGGGTTACAATCCTGGGCAGATTCGGCCAGGGTACCAGGGTTACCCAGCACCTGCATATCAGCCCCCTCAGCAGCAGGCTCCAGGACAAGGCCCATATGGAGGTGCAGGCATGGTGGATTCTAAGAAGCCTATCAATAGCAATATGAACAAAGGTGGACAGCAGCTGTGGCAGCGCATGAAACGTATGTGTCTCTGTTAGATTATGTGTGCTAAACATGTCATTTTAAGTATATCCTCCTAATGTTTTTTTTCTTCTTCAACAGAGGCTCCTGGAACAGGTGCTGTAAAATTTAACATACAAAAACGCCCGTACGTCATGTCAAGTCAAAACTTCCCTTCAGCTGAACAGGCCCCTGGATTGGGATCCCTTAATGTGACAAACCAATCTCCTGGGTCTGCTGTGGCAACATCTTCAACTTCAGCTGGATGTTCCCAAACTCGGTAAGCATACTGGCTAATATTTCAAATTAAAAGGCTGGTTGGAACATGCTTGTGCCTCAGTTGCAACTGACCACATTTTCTAGATTAAACAGATCATTAGGGCTGTGCTAATTTTAATGCCTTTTATCCCCCATATACATTTAGTAATACTAATTTAATGTAAGACCTCAATGAAAACAATAACTTTTTTTGGGGTGGTTCTTGAAGGCCTCAGGACTGGCCACAGGCCATGAAAGAGTATGTACAGCGTTGCTTCACAGCCTGTGAATCTGAAGAGGATAAGGATCGTACAGAAAAGGTACTGAAAGACCTTCTGCAGTCCAGACTACAGGATGGCTCAGCTTATACCATCGATTGGACCAGAGAACCGCTGCCAGAGTGAGTTGTATCTTTTTGTTTAGTTCAGCATTCCTCGTTCATAAGTGGCTTGTTCAGATCTCGTTTTAGTGTCTTTTAAGCTACTTAACTATTGACACTAAACATATGAAATAAATTGCAGTATAAAAAGATTTCTGCAGAAATTTCAAATGTAGGTATGATCATGTTTTTTTTGGTGCTGGTCATTTCAAGATTTACTCTTGGACTGGACTGTTTTTAATGTGATTAGACAAACATTTTTATGCAGAGATGTGTTTCACTGATGTATTTAAATGATCACCTGAAATGTATTTTAGAAATTTTATCTTGTATTAGTTGAGTCTTGTCTTGCATTTAAAATTGTCTTGCATTTTTAAACATTAAAAAAAATTTGGTACTAAAAAACTGCTTTTTTTTATCAGCCTGAAGCAAAAGCAATCTCGCTGGGAGGTGGTTCCTCAACGCTCTCAGGAGAATGCTATTGGGAGAGGTGGGGCCACCCGTGGCAGGGCAGGGGCCAGGCTGGGTAACTACAGAAATGTATTTTCTCAAAGAAGCCCCTCCTCCAGCTCGTCCCACTCCTCATCGCGATCCCCATCCCCTCACAACCGACACAGGGACAGGAATAGACATCACCGGAGGTAATGCCCAGGATTTTAAGGTTAATTATCTAATACTAAAAAAAAAGTGCAGTTTAACTGTCGATTAACCTGCAAAAAAACGGAACGAGACAAGAACGAGGATTCAATAACTGCACTATTATACCATTTTATAAGGCTGCATGATATATTTCACATATATCATAGCACACTATGATATATGTGTACTAATTACCCATAAAGTACTAATTACCCATAGCACACGCAGTCTCCACTCGCATCCGAGTGACCAGACATCACACAAAATTCGGGACAGTCCTGAAATCTAAGATATTTTCCAGAATCCGGCCCTAATTGTCCTGAAAATTATATTAAAGCAAAACCTTGTCTAATAAAAAATTATAAACTTTCCGTGGAGGTTGAGTCGGCCCCCACGGGCGGCTTGTTGGCTGCAGCATCTTTTCTGTTTCTTTTTTTTTTTGAGTTCTACAAAGATATAGGTGTGAATTTAGATATACATGGATAAGGAAATTTTCATTCATTCGTTTCGTTGACATGGCTGGTCTACCAGAACCACAACATACCGTTTTTTTTAGTGCCAGACTAATGGCAGGCTGTTGATCTTTGAAAAAAAAAAAAAAAGTTTGGTTCAGGTTTGAAATAAATTGTTTTGTTATAGGCTGTGTAGTCTAATATCATAGTAGGCCTACCCATAAACACGCCTTAGATCTCTTATTAACACTACACAAGATTTGTACCTTTAATATAACAGCTTCAAAGGGGTATCAGGCCGTGAGTGCAGAGACGCTCTGTGTGAGTGGTATTTATGACAGTAACGTTAAATACAAATACTCCACAGCGACTCTAGGGGTCGCCGTTTGACAAAAACGGAATTCCTGCATAGTGTGCCTTTTTAAGATTTAAGAGATAGTTCACCCAAAAATGTAAATTAGCCCATGATTTACTCACCCTGAAGCTAATCCTAGGTGTATATGACGTTCTTCTTTCAGAAGAATACAATCGGAGTTATATAAAAAAATGTCCTGGCTCTTTAGAAGTTGTATGTCTTTAGAAGTCCACCAAAGTGCATCTATTTATTATTAAAGTGCTCCACGTGTTAAGGCCTGAAGTGAAGCGATGCGTTCGTGTAAGAAAAATATCCATATTTAAAACTTTATGGACTTAAATAACTAGCTTCCGGCAGATGGCCGTACGCATCAATTTACATTTGTGTATCAAGTTCAACGGTTACTCTTTTTGCATAAATCGATGCATACAGCCCTCTGAATTATGTTGTTTTGACAAAATTAAACAAGTAAAATAACAACGATCACCAGGGATGCGTTTCCGAAAAGCATCTTAAGCGCAAGTTAATCGTTGGTGCCAATTGTTTTAAGAACCAATATAACATTAGTGACTCATCACTTGAAGTATGATAGAAATTGGAGATTAGCAGAATTTGAATGGTGACTGTCTTTCTTCTGCAGTGATTCTGGCTCCCAATCAGATAGCAGCATGTCAAGTGATCCTCGCCTCCCGTTGTCCCGGCGGCAACAAAAAGGTGGTCGAGGCCGTGGGGCAGAAAGGGAGCGAGGCAGAGGAGGTGTGGGAGAAAGAGGCAGAGGAAGAGGCAAAGCGAACCGAGGACGGAGGTGAGATTTAATTGTTTGTATACCAAAATTGAATGCCATTAACAAGTTTTTTCTAACATTAGGGAATTACTAGTAGCCTCATTACCTTCTCCTCTGACTTCAATCAGGAATATGGAAGACCTAACGAGTGGAATTGGTAAAAAGCGGAAAGGTGGTAACGCAGGCCTTGACTTTCATGACCCGAATCGTGAAGCAAAGAAGCAGAGCCGAGCAGCACGCTTCCACACTAAATTACGCACTGAGCCCCTGGTGTTAAACATCAATGCGTTTGACCTCCCCAATGGCTCACAGGAGGGGCTGAGTTGGGATGAATGCCCCATAGTCGGCACCTGCCAGGACATCACCAAAATCTACCTGCGCCTCACATGTGCTCCTGACCCTGCAACTGTCAGACCTGTACCTGTGAGTGTTTCTCAAAGTGTTGCTTTTCTTTAGGGATCTGTTGGTTCTTTTGTTCTGTGGTTAACACTGGATTATGTCTTATTCATGGGTTGTACTCAAAAGTGGTCTCTGGTTGGTGAATTAAAGGGATACTTCACCACTGGAAAGATGAATGTGTATTTAAAATGGGTCATTTATGTAGAAGAAATGTGAAATTATTTTTGAATTTGGAGCTTTCTAGACTGAGAGAAGCCAGAAAAATCTATTTCTATTTTCGAATACTATTTAGGACGGATAGTATGCGAATTAGGGCGCAGCATGTGTCAATCATAGCAATGGGGTCAAGCCCACCTTTCCTTACTCAGAGTTGCTATTAGATCAGTCCCGAATCACTCTTAAGCTAAGACTCCTACGTAAAAGTTTTTAAGCTAAATTAAGAGTTTTCTGAGAGGATTTTAGAATCGTTTTGAATACGGTTCCAGGACATTTTGTACTATCTCGGCGGCCGGAAATGTCCATGACAGGAAAAAGTGGATTGTAACCCCTTCTACTCAGCTTTCTCCACAGAACAAGAGCCTGCTAGCTTAGCTTCCAAAAAAAAAAAAAAAAATGTCTGACACTGTGTACATTCTGTGAGTGAGATGTGGGACAGCCCCTACTACTGACTATAGTCTTTACCCTCTTGCCAAAAAATCTTTCAACGACGCAAAATGAAGATTTTTGCGTTATTGTAGGATTTTTTTCCAGACAGAAAATACATAAATCTCTAGTCTCAGGGGGATATGAGGGTGGAATGCATGGCAATTTGGAAATACTACAGGTTTCCTACAAATACAAAGCTTAATGCTAAATGAAGTATCCCTTTAAACAGTTTGTTTGAAGATTTGTTTTGAATATTTTCTTGTTTCAGGTGTTGCGAAAGTCCCTGATTGCGGTGAAAACTCATTGGAAGACCAATCAGGATTATGTGTATGCATGTGAACAAATGAAGTCAATACGACAAGATCTCACTGTGAGTTACGGTTACTAGTACTAATTACCTGCTGTGCCATTTTCTCATGTAGTGTCTTATCTTGAAATTTTGTGTCATTCAGGTTCAAGGTGT